TGCTGCCGCTAGTACCACATGAAGACAGCAGCGGGCCCCCTTGGGTTTTGCTGCAGCGTTTGCTGCTGCTGGCACGCGAGCTGCTGCTGCGGCAGCAGCAGACGCATCTCGCTTTAGGGGAAGGGGTTCTAGGAGGTGGATGCGTTGCTGCTGCTGCTGCTGCTCCGCTGCCCGCGCTGCAGCAGCAGCAGCAGCAGCAGCAGCAAATTCAGGGCTCCTCATGGAGGCTCCGCACCCTCAGCAGAGCCTTCAGCAAAACTGTGGGTCGAGCAGCAGCAAGGGAAGAGTTGAGGCGCAGCAACAGCACAACAGCAGCAGCAGGAACCTACACGCGGCAGCAGCAGCAGCAGCATCAGTATCAGCAGCAGCAGCAGCAGCAACAGCAGCAGCAGCTGCTGCACAGCAAGACCTTACGCTTAGCTTGGAGCAGCAGCGAAGCTGCTTTTTATTTGCTGCAGGCAGCATCGTGGTGTCTGATCGATTCTCACTGCTTCAGCGCTTGCTGCAGCAGCGGAGTGCAGCAGCTGCTGCAGCAGCAGCAGCAGCAGCAGCGGAAGCAACGAGGCCTGCTGCTGGCTTCTCCCCTCGCCGCGCTGCTGCAGCGCAGGGATCCGCATGAAGAGCTCTCGCGGCTGACAGATTTTGTTGCGGCTGCTGTCTCGAGCGGCAGCAGTAGCAGCAGCAGCAGCAGCAGCAGTAGCAGCAGCGGCAGCAGCCCAGCAGCAGCAGCAGCAGCAGGCCCAAAGTGCAGCTGCCGGAATTCATCTGCTGCAGACGCATGCACTGCTGCTGCTGGTGCTGTTTGGGAGGTGCCGCAGCAGCTGCAGCACAGCTTGCTGCTCAGCAGCAGCAGCAACAGCAGCAGCAGCAGCAGCAGCAGCAGCATGAGTGTGGTTTTCTTGCTGCTGTGGGCGGCGGATTGTATGGGGTTTGCTTTGCTGCCGCATGCATGCAGCAGCAGCAGCCACCGCTGCTCTCTAGCAGCACATAAGTGCGCAACAAAACACAAGAAGAAACAGTTTATATCGCGAGGCTTGTCCCTCCCTTTGCTGCTGCAGCAGCTGCTGGAGAGGGCGGTGTTTGTGTGTCTCTGCTGCGGCGGTGCAGCAGCAGCAGCAGCAGCATCAGCAGCAGCAGCACGTGCCTATGAACGGCTCGGGTTGCTGCTGATGCTGCAAGGCGATTTGCGCCGTGCTGCTGCTTGCTGCAGCTTGTCTTTTGCTGCTGCAGCAGAGACGCAGATACCTTTTGCTGCTGCATTTTCTCCTTCGTTGGCGTCTGCTGCTGATTTCAAATGCAGATTTGTTGCATCCCCCTACAGCAGCAGCAGTAGCAGCAGCAGCAGCAGCAGCGGCAGCAGCAGCAGCAGCGGGATGGCTTCTATTTGCTCCTTTTCTTACGCCTTTTTAAAACGCATGCAGCAGCAGCAGCTGCTGCTGCAGGGGGTATTCAAAGCAGCAAAGTACGAAGCACTGCTGCTGCTCTGGCAGCGCCGCTGTGCTGCTGAACTCCTCTTCCAGCAGCACTCAGCAGCAGCAGCAGCTGCTGCTGCAACAGCAAGGAAGAAGTCTGCTGCTGCGATGCTGGCTGACGCTCCGCAGCAGCAGCAGCAGGAGAAGGAGCAGCAGCAGCAGCAACAACAACAACAACACCTCATGATGCAAATGAATGGGCACACAAAGTCTTTGCCGCAGCATCAGCAGCAGCAACGGGAACGGCAGCAGCAGCAGCAGCAGCAGCAAGAGCAGCAGCAGCTGCTGCTGGCAGGGGACATTCCTTCACGGCTGCTGGTGGAGATGTCTGCTATGACAGCAGCAGAAAGAAGAGCAGCAATTGCTTCTGATCTGCAGCGGTATGCTGCGCTGCTGCTGCTGCAGTGTCGTTCGACAAAGCTATTTTGCCTCCCCACACCCAGCAGCAGCAGCAGCAGCAGCAGCAGCAGCGATTGCCTTCTGTTGAGTGCGCATGACAAAGGCCGGGCAGCAACCGAGACAGCAGCAGCAGCAGCAACAGCAACAGCAACAACAGCAGCAGCAGCAGGGGAAGCGCTGCGGCGCTCTCTAGAGCAACGCATGCGAGAAACCTTAGGGCCTCTTCTATCCGGTAACAGCAGCAGCAGCAGCAGCAGCAGCAGCAGCAGCAAGGAGAACAAGGGCGACAGCGCCTCCCGTTCCGCTTCTGCAGCAGCATCAGATTCGACAGCAGCAGCAGCAGCAGGAGCAGGAGGAGGCGGAGGAGAAGCAGCAGCAGCTGTTGCAGCAGCAAGTGAAGCAGCAGCAGGAGCAGCAGCAATAGAGCTTCCCAGTTACGTAAATTTAGTAAACCGCTCTTTCGTTTGTCTGTCTGCTGCAGCACAACTAACTCCAGCAGCACCACATGTGTGGATCCTACTTGCTGCTGCTGCTCTGCATGCATGCCACTTATCTCTTGCTGCTGATTGCTGCAGGAGGGCCTTGCTGCTGCAGCGAGACCTACCAAGAACATGGTGCCTCTTTGCTCTCTGCTGCAGCTCCCCGTGCAGTGCAGCAGCACCGCTTGCCCTACACCCCGATCTCAGCAGCAGCAGCAGCAGCAGCAGCAGCAGCAGCAGCAGGAAGTGGAGAGGGAGGGGGGCAGCAGCAGCAGCAGCAGCAGCAGAAGAAGAAGAAGAAGATTCTGCAGCGGGAGAGACAGATAGCAGAAGGTCATCAGAAGAACAGGGAGACGCTACAGCTGCTGCTGTTGCTGCTGCAGCAGCAGCAGCAGCAGCAGAAGCAGCAGCAGCAGCAGCAGCAGAGGATGGTATACTGCCATTCCCCTGCAGCCCCGTGCTGCACCACCACCGCATCCCTCTGAAGTCTTTAGAGGAGCTGCATATACACCTGAAGTCAACGCGAACATATGCAAGTGCTGCTGCAGCAGCATCACGGATTGAAGATGCATTAGATGAATGCAATCTGCTGCAGCATAAATTGCTGCTGCTGCTCGCTGCGCTGCAGCTGGCAGCAGCACAACCCGATCACTCCAAGCTCCTGACGCCAGCGGAAGCAGCAAATATACGCAGACTGCAGCAGCAGCAGAAGCAGCAGCAGCAGCAGCAGCAGCAGCAGGGAGGGTGCGCGGAGGCCCCACAGCCGACACGCTTCTGCACTCACAGACCCACAAGCAGCAGCAGCAGCAGCAGATCTGCAGCAGCAGCTGCATGCGATGTCTGCATAGTATCTTCATTTGCAGCATTTGAGAGCGAGTTGCTGCCTCCTCCAGCAGCAGCAGTTGCTGTTGCTGCTGCTGCTGCTGGTATTGCCGAGTGGGGTCAACTGCATGCGGTTTGCTGCAGCACTGAGGGCGACTGGCCTGCTGCTGGGTGTCTCGCTGCTGCTGCAGCAGCAGCAGCCGGCACCAGCAGCAGCAGCAGCAGCAGCAGCAAGAGCAAGAGCAGCAGCAAGGGAACAGCAGCAGCAATAGCTAAGCTGCCTTGTGCAGTGAAGGCGATGCAGGTAATTGGTGCTGCACTTAGAAATTTAGACGGGGGATTGCTGGAAGCAGCAGCAGCAAACCTCTGCTGCCAGCTGCACAGCAGCAGCAGCAGCAGCTGCTGCAGCAGCAGTGTGTTTCAGTCTAACGATACTGTGGTGTCTATACAGCTCGCCTTTGCAGAGGTAGAGTGCTGGGCGGGGATTGCTGCTGCGCTGCTGCAGCTGCAGCAGCCGCTGCTAGCTTGGCGTGCTGCTGCTGCTGCTGCTGCTCATGCTGCAGCACTCGAGGCCTACCTTAGAGCTGCTGCTTTGTCGAACGAACCCCTCAAGACAACCCCCAGCAGCAGCAGCAGCAACAGCAACAGCAGCAGCAGCAGCAGCAGCAGCGGCGATGCGGGGGGCCCATTTGCTGTTGATGTGCTGCTGCAGCACGTAGCAGCGTGGGGCGTGGAGATTGAATTTCTGCTGCTAAGAATTCGCTTCTACTCTCTTAACTTGCATGAAGACTCCCTGCTGCAGCACAGCAGCAGCAGCAGCAGCAGCAGCAGCAGCAGTACTGAACGCTGCTGCTGCTGCTGCGGCGGAAGCAGCAGCAACGGCTACTGCAATATCAGTATCAGCGGTAGCAGCAGCATTCGTTGCTGCTGCTGCTGCAGCAGCAAGGAAGAGCTGCGCAGGGATCTGCTGCACTTCAGACAGCAGCAGCCGCACCACCGAAACGCTTTGCTGCTGGAGGGGAGGTTGCTGCTGCAGCTAGGAGCAGCAGCAGCAGCAGCAGAGAGACTTGCTGCTGCTTGCAGCAGCAGAGACCTCTGTATAGATGCCTCAACAGATTGGGCACAGGAAGCAGCAGCACTTGTGGTGTATGCGCAGGTGCTGCTGCTGCTGCAGCAGCCGCAGCAAGCTCTAGAAGCAGCAGCAAGAGCAGCGCGGTTTGCTGCATGTGCTCCCGCTATACTTCCGCGGCTTGCACTTCAGCCAGACTTCATGTGCCTAGGGTCTACCTTTTAGGGTTTAGGGTTTAGGGTTTATAATAATGGTTTAGGGCTTGTGGGCTTTAGGGTTTAGGGTTTAGGGTTTGGGCTCAGACTCACTTTGAACAAAAGGCGTTGGTTATATTTAGTAGGGTTTTGATTTTTAGGGTTTGGGGTAGGGTTTAGGGTTTAGGTTAGGGTTTAGTGTCTAGGTTAGGGTTTAGGGTTTAGGATTGTGGTTTAGGGTTTAGGATTCGGGTTTAGGGCTTAGGCGCGGGTTGAGGGCTTAGGCTAGGGTTTAGGGTTTAGGTTAAGGTTTAGGGTTTAGGTTAAGGTTTAGGGCTTGCTATGTTGCGGGTTTAGGGTTTAGGGTTTTAGGGTTTAGGGTTTAGGGTTTTTGAAGAGTTGCCGAGGCTCTTCTGCGGATTACGCTCCTGAGGGTTTAGGGTTTAGGGTTTAGTACTGACGTTGCCATTATATATAAATAAGTTAAACAGAACTAAACCCTAAACCCTAAACCCTAGATAGAGATACAAACCCTAAACCCTACATATGTACGTAAACCCTAAACCTAAAACTTTATATATATATATATATATATATATATATATACACCTATACTTATTCATAAACCCTAAACCCTACATATATATATATAATATAGATTATGTAAACCCTAAACCCTATATATATATATATATACATATATATACAAACACTAAACCCTAAACCCTAAACCCCCAACGAAAGAAAGAGCCGCGCATTATTTGTTTATCTCGTTTGAGGGTCTACGGTTTTATCTTTACTAGATATAGAAATAAATAAATATAATAATAAATATATTAAACTTAATAAAATAAATTAAATTAAATAAGTGAATGTATGTTCATAACTCGTAAACAACTCCAAAGGCAGCAGCAGCACAAAACACAAACCCTCACGCAAAAACAAAAACTGCTGCTGCAGTTGCTGCTGCTGCTGCAGTTGCTGCCGTTGCAGTTTTCTGCTGCTGCTGCAGTTGCTGCTGGTGCTGCAGTTACTGGGTACTGGTGCTGCTGGAGTTGCTGCTGCAGTCGTTGCTGCTGCTGCAGTCGTTGCAGCAGCAGCAGCAGCAGCAGCAAGGTTTTAGGGTTTTTGTTTAGTAGTCCACCCGCGCGTCTCTGAATTTTTGTGCAGTCTCCCAGTAGTGCTCCTAAACAAACAAAATATATAAACCCTAAACCCTAAACCCTAAACCCTAAACTCTAAAACTTCAGCTGCATCCATTAAACCCCAAAACCTACACTCCGCCCCTTAACTTGAATGCAAAACCCTAAACCCTAAACCCTCATCATACCCCTAAACCCCTAAACCCTCATCATAACCCTAAACCCCTAAACCCTCATCATAACCCTCAACCCCTAAACCCTCATCATACCCCTAAACCCTGAACCCTAAACCCTAAACCCTAAACCCTAGGATCTTACTGCATGAACATTTCTGAAAATTCGTCTGGCTTCAGCGTCAGACTGCACTCGGTGAATTCTCCAACTCGAAAAACTCGCAGATTTATTCGTCCCCTAAAAACAAAATTAATTATTTATTTAGTTTAATTAATTTATTTAGTTTAATTAATTTATTTAGTTTAATTAATTAATTTAATTTAATTAATTTAATTAATTAAATTAAATTAAATTTAATTTAATTTTATTTTATTTAATTTAAATTTAATTTAATTATAGAAAAAAGAAAGAAGGAAATGCATGCAGTTAAAGCAACAATCTATATACACCCTCTTCGTTATATATATATATATATATATATATCTATTTATAATTATATATTTATAATGTATATATTATGTATTATATACTATATATATTGTTTATATGAATATACATAGGCAGGCATCTAAATAATATATATATATATATATATATGTATATTTATATATATTATATATTATATATTATATATATAATATTATATATTAATATATCCCTGTCTGCTTATTATCTGTGTTGTTTATTTCTTTAAAATTATTTTTCTTTTTATTTATTTTATTTATTTATTTTTATTTTTTGTTTCACCTGCCAGCACAAACAGCAGTCTTCGGAAGCAGCTGCAGTTAGGTTGTCTTCATCATCAGACTCCTAATAACACATAAATAAATAAAATAAATAAATTAATCAATTAATTAACTAAATAAATAAATAAATAAATAAATAAATTAATTAATTAATTAATTAAAAAAATGCTGCGGACAGTAGCAGCTAGAAAGAGAAAAAATGACGCCCCCTGTGCTCGCCGAGAGTAATAAACCCTAAACCCTAAACCCTAAACCCTAAACCCTAAACCCTAAACCCTAAACCCTAAACCCTGAACTCGACAAATTCGAAAGCAGCTAAATCCCTCATACTGACGGACGCAAAACCCTAAACCCCAAACCCTTAAACTCTAAACCCTGTGTTTGAGAGAGCAGTCAAGCCCTCAGACACACCAGCAGCGCTAAACCCTAAACCCTAAACCCTAAACCCTAAACCCTAAACCCTAAAGGCCTACGGGTTGCATCTGCTTGGAGCCCATATCCGCCTCTGTCCATTTTATTCTTCTCTCCATCAACGCGCGAAGCCGCTTTATCGATTTGTGAGAACCTGCAACCCGCAAACCCTAAGCCCTAAACCCTAAACCCTAAACCCTTAACCGTGGATGTGGGAGCTAGAGGCCCTGATTCTCATCACTGAAAAACAAACCCTTTGCACCAAACACTAAACCCTAAACCCTAATCCACAAACCCTAAACCCTGACCCTCGACTCTAAGCTTTAACCCTAGACCTAATCCCTACGAAACCCTTGCTTTAAACCCTAAACCCTAAACCCTAAACCCTAAACCCTCACCCTCAAACACCACCACAGCCCAAGCGGGTTGAGGGGGAAGGACGCAAACACCCGTTACATGGAACTGCTTCGCGTTTGTATCCACCTGCATGCGATAAACAAAACCCTAAACCCTAAACCCTAAACCCTAAACAATAAACCCTAAACCCTAAACCCTAAACCCTAAACCCTAGAATCGTAAAACCCTCAACTAACTAGAAACGGCAACGCATCTCCACAGACGCGAGAAGCAACAAACCAAAAACACTCACAACAAACCAGCTCAACAAACCCTAAACCCTAAACCCTAAACCCTAAACCCTAAGCAGATGCAGATGCATCCACAGCATTCACAAGCAACCAGCAGCAGCAGCAAATTTTAGCTGCCTTGCTGTTGGTGCTGCTGCAGCAACAGCTGCTGCAGGAGCAGCAGAAGGCTGCAGGAAAAGAAGTAGCAGCAGCACTGCAGCGACAGCCCCCTCCCTAGGGTTTAGGGTTTAGAGCACAGAAGGATCTAGGCTTCGTGCTTAGGGTTTAGGGTTTAGGGTTTATATACCTTAAACAAATGACGTTTATTCGCTAGCGACTTCACCCGGAAGACGGCAACGCTGCAGTTGTTTTGTTGCTTTAGCTGAACACCCAAACCCTAAACCCTAAACCCTAAACCCTAAACCCTACTCCCCAAGCTGAATGAGGGTTTGCTGAATCTGCACTTGTTGATATGAGTATATTTGTGTTTTCTTTTGTAACTTTCGTTGTTTCTGCTTCTCTGCGCCGTTGAGGGTTTAGGGTTTGTGGTTTAGGGTTTAGGGTTTAGGGTTTAGGGTTTACGGACCCTCCACTTGTTGATATTTTTGTTTGCTTTTTCTTCCTTCGTTAATTTTCTTTCGCTGTTTCTGCGTTCGTGAGCTTCAACTCTCTCAGCCATTTGAGCTCGCACCTTCTTTTCTGTTTTAGATGGGTCCTGAAGCCACTCACAAACCCTAAACCCTAAACCCTAAACCCTAAACCCTAAACACTAAACCCTTTGTTAATGGAGAGTTCTTTCGACGCTCACATGCAGAACACGCATGCAAATAAATATTAACCAACAACATAAAACCCTAAACCCTAAACCCTAAACCCTAAACTCTAAAGAAAGATGCGTAGGGCTTCGTTAGAGCTGGGGCTTGAAGTGGTTTAGAGACTCCGAGGGTTTAGTGTTTAGGGTTTAGGGTTTACGGTTACTTACAGCGACAGCCACATCACCTAAAACCCTCATTAAGTTGCTGAGCTTGCATTTAGGAGGAGGAGGAGGCATCAGACCTGCACATACACCCCAAAGCAAGCTAGGGTTTAGGGTTTAGGGTTTAGGGTTTGCAGATATCAGCGACCCCAGTAAACCCCAACAAGCAACTGAACCCTAAACCCTAAACCCTAAAAGAGTAATTTAATCGTTATAAAAATGCTGATGCTAAACACACACAAACAAATAAACAAAATAGATAAAACTCAGACTATACATACACCAATATAAAAAAGAAATATAAATATAAATATAAATATAAATATATATATAAATGTATACTTATATATAGACAGATATATAAGCTATATATATACATAATATATATACATATGCAATGTATACATATATATATTACCTAAAAAATAATATACATATATATATATATATACATATATATATATAAACATAATATATATATATATATATAAACATATCTATAAACATAATATATATATATATATATAAACACAATTATATATATATATAAACATAATATATATATAT